ATAATAATTATATCCTTGCATATGAGGAGTTATCAAATCATCTGTTCTATCAAAAATAAAACAATCACTAAATCTTGTTGAGATTCCAGTTTCACCTATAGGATTTGATATCATTATATTAAGTTTTCGTGATAATTTTCCTAATGAATGAATGCGTGGAAATCTACCAATAACCTTTTGAAGATCATTTATTCCTTCAGCACATAATTGTAAAATTCCTAAATCAAAATTAGAATAAATTCTAACAAATGCATCATCAATTTGCATTGACAAAACATCTTCTTGAACAAGAGGAAGAATAATAGGCAATCTTTCTATTTTACATCGTGTCATTTCACAAAAATTAATCATTTCTATATCCCACATTTCTGTACCAAATGGACGTAATACTGTAAAATTCTCAATTAAACTATCATCATTAAGTTCACTCTGATTATTAGACCGAATCTTTTTCATTGCTTCTGCTATTTGTTTATATCCTTCAATGTCACTTGCTAAAAAAATAAAATTTGTAACATCTCTTCTATAATTATTTACTTCTGATGGTAATAATATATCTTCTATCGAATATTTTGGGTTTTGTAACTCAGTACCAACAGTTAACTCTAATAACAATTTTGACTTTTTATCACAAACAATATATTTAGGTTTTTCTTTTCTCACTGACAATGTTTTAGTAAAATATCCCTCAAGGTATTGTTGATATTCATATAATATATCGGTTGGACCTAATTCTGGTCTTGTTGAAATAGACAATAATTCCCCTATTTTAATTGAATTAAAATGTCGATTCTGTTTAGTTTCCGCCATTTCTCTTCAATTTTAAGTTCTTTGTTTTTTTTAAGTTTTCTTAAAAATGAATATATAACACATTATGAAAACCAAAAAAGAAATTAAAAAATATAAATCAAAATGAATATAAATAGATATGGTATTTTTGTATTTCAAGAAATGTTCAAGAAAACTATAAAAAATCATGAAAAAAGTTAAATAAAGAAAATTAAAAAAACTATTAAAAAGCTAATACACAACAAGTCAAGAATCTTCTAAAAACGAAAAGATATAAAGAGAACTAAAACTTGAAAAGAAAAGAAAGAAAAACTTAAATAATCTAATTGATGAGTGGAAGAAGAAGCATTGGAAGAAGAAAACACCAAGCAAGATATCAATCAGTTTATTCAAAAAAGGGTAAAATAAAAGAAGAAGAAGATGATGAATATGAAGATACAAGTATATCAGTAAATTGTTTGTTCAAGTATTATAAGACATTACAAGAAATATGACTAAAGTTTTTGAGTATTTGAAATAAATTCATCAACAAAAATATATGTCTTTAGTGAATGACAACATTTGTGATTGTTTTATAATGAAAGTAAACAACTCATCTCTTAGCAGAAAATGAAGAAATTAATATGGAGGAAATGCAAGAAGAGCTTCATCATAAGTACCCAACAAATAGAAGACTTACAAGATCTATTGCACCAATAAAATTAAAAAAACCAAAAAAAGGTAATGAAGACATTGACACTTCTTTTATTGGAGATGAAGAAACACCAAAGAAAGTGAATAAAAGAACTAAAAGAAAATACACAAGGAGAATCAAAAAAGAAAATGAATATGATAAAACACTTATAAATACTGAAGAAAAAGAAGAAAAAATGGAAGAAGATAAAGATGTTGCTGACTTAATTGATGATCCTATTCTTCAATCAAGTATGAATGAAATAAGTGGAAGCAATGAGGAAAAAATAAGAAAAAAAATTGAAGAATTTAATGATATTACATTAGTTAAAACTGCAGAAAAAATTAATGTTCCAGTTAATAATAATATTATTGACCTTCGAACACAAAACTCATATTTAATTGTATCAAAAGAACAAGCAGAAAGAATGTTTAACTTTACACCAGTCCATATTAGAAAAGGAAAGTATAGATTTCCAGGAACTGATTTATGGTATAACACAATTGAAGAATACAAAAAACTTCAAAAAGAATATAGAACAAATGAGGTTGTGTAAAATATTTAGATAGAGTTAAAATAATTCAGAATGCAAAAATAATTATTTTGTATGTAAAATGAATAAAATAGTTGTTATGATGGTGGGTATTAATAAATTGAACTAATTCTATTTACTAGGATATATTATCTCCTTATTTTCATTTATTAATTTTTCATAATAAATTTCCAAAAATATTTAATTTTTTTTTAATTCTATTAATTTTTGGTATATATGTTAAAATAAATTCAAAGAATAATGGATATAAACTGCAAAAATGAAGGAAGAAAGTGTAAAAAGTTAATACAACAAAAAAAAATTTTTTCAGCTTGCATTTAAAACATTAATTCAAGTACTTTTAAAAAAAGAGTGTTAAATAAAATGTTACCCTTTGGTAGAAATAAGCAAAAAATAGAAAGAATAAATTATAAAATAACTACCAGATATAGCAACAACACAAACTATTAAAAAACAACAAGTAAGAGTTATCATTGAAAGAACTGATTAAATAGTTTGAATTAACTATGACAAAAGAAGGGCAAACATTCTCTTCAACAATACCTCCATCAATCTATAGCCAAAGTTATGTTACCGGAAAACCAAATGAAAGAGATAGTTGGTGTAATGAAAATAATGAAACAAAATCATTTACCATCGTTATAGTTGGAGATGAGGGTGTTGGAAAGATGTGTTTAATTAACCAACTTCTGGTTTGTTTATTTTATATTATCTTGTCAAATGTTTAATTTATAGTACGGTTATTTTAAAGACAGCAATAAATCAACAAATTGTAATACAAAAAATTATTATGTTGATGGCAAAGAAGTATTTTTAAATGTAGTTTGTTTTTTATAAAAATACAAACACCTTTTTTAAACTTATTTGTCATAGTGGAATTATAATGGTAAACAACAAAAATCAATGATGTCAAGAAGTTACTATGAAGGATGTAATGCTGTCATTGTAGTATTTGATATTTCTGATAGAACAACGTATGAAAGTGTCAAAGGATGGTTAAAAGATGTTGGATATTATGCACCTAAAGACATTATCAAATATCTTGTAGGAAATAAAACTGATTTAGCTGCAAATAGAATTGTTTCTAGTCAAGAAGCACAAGATCTTGCTAAAAGAGAAGGATTTGAATTTATTGAGACAAGTGCTAAATCAAATAACAATGTAGATGTGTTGTTCCAAGATTTAATAAAAAAACTTCTTTCTGAGCCTCTTAGATTAACAAATAAACATGTCTCTGAAGAAGAAGAAGAAAAAGAAACATTAAAAACTAAAACTTCATTTAAACAAAACCATTATCATTCTTGTTGTACTGTCTTGTAAATCATTCATTTCTTTTTATATATTTGTAAAAATGTTTTATTTAACGAAAATAATTAAAATTTATTTTATTCCTCATTTTCTTCTTTCTCTTTCTTAGTTTTTCTTTCTTTTTTAGCATGTTTCTTTCTATTTAATTCTTTCTTCTTTTCACTAAGAATCATTGTATCTCTAATTGTTTTTGTATGCATTAATTCTTTAGGAAGATGAATATGATTTGCTATTCTTCTAATTTCTGGCATGTCTTTATATTTCTTTTTTAATCCATTAAGATAATTAAGTTTGGCAATTTCTCTTTTATCTTTAATTTTAGTTGATTCACTTGCAAATGCTTTCCATATTCTAATATTTCCTTCATCAGATCCACTAAATATATAATGACCATCTCCACTATAACAAACATTAAACACTTTTTGCATTCTTTGTGTGTGATAACAATCTCTTGCATATCCACACCATTCATTATAAATTCTAATACATTTATCATATGACCCTGTAGCAAATTCTCTTCCTGTAGGGGAATAATCAACTGTAAGTACTGGTCCAAGATGTCCTTTATGAATTGTACGTGCTTCATTAAGTCTTCTTATGTCATATGTATAAAGATTCCAATCATCACTACATGCAGTAAACATATATACTTGTTGTGGATTCCATGATAAATCATTATATCTTCTTACTCCATAAACTGTTTTAATTGGTGTATTTGCTCGAAGATCAATTAATATAATACTTCGATTCCCTCCTGTTATTCCAACAACATTATTTTCTGTTGGACTAATCTTACATCCTAAAACTCCATCTGTTTCTGTATCATAATGTTGTACAATCTCATTTCTACTAAATGTCCATAAATCAAGTCCTTCACTTGTTCCTGTACAAAAATCTTCTGTTCCTCTTCTTGTATCAATACATGAAAATGGTATTTCATGATTATATGTCATTAATGGTGCATTTACTTTTGCTGGTTTACTATCTTCTTCTGTAGAAATTGATAATGGCCATAATTTACATGTATGATCAGTTGAACATGTAACAATATATGGTATTTTTGTTGTAGAAACACTAATTCCTTTACAAACTGTGTCATGTGCTTGAATAGTATACAAACATTGTTTTGTTCCAACATTCCATACTCTTACTTCTCCATCATATCCTCCACTTGCCATATATGATATTTCATTTCCTGTTCGAGTTATACATGTTACTCCATCTGGATGTCCTGCTAAATTCCCTATAAATGGTTTAGCAAATATTTTATCTAATTTTGTTGCATTTAGTGCTCGTTTATATTCTCTTGCTTGTGCAAATGGATGATCTTCTTCTTTCATTGATCGTTGAACACGTGCTAAATCATTTGGTAATTCTTTGTATTCTGTAAGAACATTTCGTGTAATTAATTTAAACTTTGTGGGATCAAAACCTTGTGGCTCTGTCATTTGATTTTTCTCTTTCTCTCTTTCTTTCTCTTAAAACCCTTTTTATTGTTATAATCTTTAGAAATATTTTTCTTTATCTTATTTTCTTTAATTATTAACTTCTCTTTTAATATCTTATTTATCCAATCTTCTTTTCATTATCTATCATGTTTATATTACCCATTAGTCATTTTCTTCATTCTTTTTGTTTCTTCTTATTCTCTAATTCTTTTCTTATTGGTTATAACTCCTTCCATGTATATACTATCTCATCATTTAAAAGTCTTATTCCAAATTAGCATGTGTTGCATTATGCCTATTCAATGAGTCTTTTAACAACACAATGACTAAGTGTTGTGTGTTTGGTAATAACAGACTCTTATAGTAGTCAAGCTTGTTTAGGCAGATGGTTGTGCAGATAAACTCAATCTAATAAGAATATAAATATGTAAAGAATAATAAAAGTATTTTTGACTAATAATTTATGAAGAGATGGTTGTTGATGAAGTAGATAACAATAAAATTGATTGTTATGATAAAAAAGAACGAAGAAAAAGAAAATCAATGATTAAAAATTAGTGAATAGGATAGTATTGTTAAACGTGAGAATAAAATAGAAATTCATCTTACTTCAGTTTATTCTATACTAAATAATTATTAGTTTCATCACAATTTATAGATTTTAATATTATGATTAAACACTTTACTACTTCATTATTACTTTATTCATGCATACAAACAACTGATTGTTCACAACTACTTTGAATACTTTTATTAATAACATAATCACATTCTGTGAATAAACAAATTAAGCAATATCATACTACGTTTTATAACTCAAACAAATAACCACAAAGAGGTTTTTTAAATAAATGAATATATGAGACATATTGTTGTTAGCATGTGGTTGAGTGATTTGTTTGTAAGATTGGAAAGGAAGTTGTCAGAAATAATATCAAAACATTAAAATGAAACAAAGTGGTAAATGTTCAAGAAATATATAATTTTAATAAGATTAAAAATGGATAGTGTCATACACAATCCTATAAGTTAGTATTCT